GCCGCGCCTCCAGGTAACATTTTAATTAAACCGCCTGGATAACAAAATATGTTCGATACGCCACAGAGGAAAACGGTATTTTACCTTCGGGGATCGTTTAAACGCCGAATTTAGATTCAAACATTGCGTTATTAATATTAGGTGCGTGTCTGGATTGGTGGTAAATTTCAGCTTTCCAGTTGAGATATTCTTCTGAGTGGAACGTGCGAAAAGTTTTAATGGATTTTTTCGCCACTCACCCACAAACCATGGATTGCGGCGATTGTTTTCTACGTTTAGCGACAGAAAATACTCTTTGAATCCGCGCACTGGATTAGCCTGCGGCTGGACAGACAATGTTCCTTCGACTTCAGCTTCATTGCCATCCGACACCAAAGATCTGGCACTCCATCCATCGGACCCGATCCAGGAAAACCATCCAGTCGCATTACAGCGACGGACTGCTTTCATCAGTTCAGCCACTTCTTGGTCGGACCCAAAAATTATACAGCCTGCAATCAACAAAAACATGTCGGGTTTTCTGTAAAAGTTTTTATGTCTTTCCTCATCATTCATTCCTGATTTAAAGCGTTCGATTGACCGCAGCTTTTGCCGATTGGCAAAGTAAGCTCGGGTCAAAAAAGCCAATCCAGCAAACGGGCTGATCAAGCGAAAAAATTGATGATGTCCTAAGGAAATTGAATTTTTTTATTCACAAAGTGCGTCCGGCCGAAGTGATCAAATACTATTAAGAAAAACTCAATTTCCTGACAAATGGACGATCGCACTGAAATGAGTTTCATCAGTTCAATTTGAATATTGGTACTGTTTTGCATAGTTAATTCAATGTAGCCGCTGGTTTAAGAAATATTATCCTGCAATTATTTTACAATTTACCGAAATATCGCAGGTTTATCTAGGGACGATGAGAATGAACGTTCAAAGAGCACTTTAATTAAAAATCCGTCTCAACTAAGACGAGGCCACAAGGCAATCAAAAGCTTTGCACTTTTTCTCTTGCTGGAATTACCCTCATCTCCTTGCCCGCCAAAGAACATTATTTAGGCCCCTTTTGTAAAGTTTCGTTTTCGGGGCGTCATTTGGAGGTGTTTTAATGAGAGCTATCTTTTGTACTAGTGATTTGACACATGATGAAAAGGCGCCGCTCATTTTTTAATGACGAATATTTCAGTATTAGGCTTTGTGTGTCTTTGGCTGGAAATTTCCCTATGGACTTCAGGGCATTTTTGCTCGAAAATCACCAATATAGGTCTGGCTCAATGAGAGACACAAAGGGGCAAGAAGCAACAAACGCAGTTTCACAACACTTTAATACTGTGACGCAGTGGAAACTCAAGCGATGTCTTTTATTTGCTCAAAAATTCAGGGAGTAACGGAAGGAACATTTATAATTCTTTTTTGACAAATGGCAAGTCCCAGCTAGATGTGCCTACGGGACTTTAACGAAATTAAAGTGGGACTTTCAACTTGCGGTTACAAATCTATAAACTTTCCGGGTCTCGAAATGGCTCTCTACTTGCTGTGCATTTATGTACCTGAAAAATTAGCCACTTGCATCATTTGTTAAAAACCTTCCAAGGAAAAACACGTATATCATACGGAACAGGGATAAAAATAAGAGAAAACTGATTGCTCCTTTATAAATAATGCCGAGACAGTGGGGATCTTCCTTCAAATAAACCCAATGAATTCCAAATATTTTGCCGTTCGTCCTGACGAAAATCGAATAACAAAATTGTTGGAATAAGTGAAAATTTATTCAATTGGCCAAATACACTTTTTGTATCAAATTAACTTTCCCCCAGGCAAATGGAATAATCCGGTTCACCTTTTAGCCCTCGAAATGGAAACGCACTTTTTATCATCTCTTAATGAGAAACGAGAGAAAAATCGGCTCTTTTGCCTTTAATGTCCTGCGGGATGTTTGAAAATTCAGCCGACTTCTTCATTGGGCGAATAAATTAAATGTCGACGTTTCCAAATTTTTTTCTGCACATACCTTCTTAGCTAATTTATAAAGGGCGGAGCAGTGGAGGAGAAAACCCAAAAAATACCCTATTGCTACTAAAATTTAATCTATTTTACGTTCTGTTATGTTTGCAAGATTTTGAGGCCATTTAACTGTTGAAGTACAAACTTAATTGCCAAGGTGTCCCCAGAGAAAAAGTCCAAAGGAATCAAGTCGGGAAAACCGTCAGGACAAGGACTCGAAAAATCATTGGCTCGATCCAAAATTCAGCAAGGTTTAGAAGCTGTCTTCATTTGTCCTTTAGATGTTTAAATCTGCTAGTTTGGCGCAGATGAACATGAAATAATTTGTCATAGTTTGCAAATTCGTGCCAACGAGATTAAGATTAACCGATCGTTTTAATTGCACAATGTAAAGCAAGCTCGCGCGTATGCAGATTGATCACACAAACGCA